AAATACAAAATATATTTTTTATGCATCATTGATTCAATGATTATGAAAAATACATTTTCCAGTTATTCAGTCGTGTTTTTCAAAAATAGCCATACATTTTTTCATGTTTTTTAGAGTTGACGCACTGTTTATTATGACATTCGGTCTTTAAAAAATGTAAACAAACCAAAAAGCAGAGTATCAAATTGTAAATTAAACCTTGCGCAAGCGTTTTACTGTTATTTTTAAGGAGTTATAAAATCTATAATATATATAACTATATTATCAAACTTAATTTATTACAATAATACAAAAAATGCCTCTTGTAAGATGAACTATACGGTGTAATTTATATGGTGGTAGCCCTTCTGATCTTCCTATTACAGATCTAGCGACTTATGGCAATGTAGCAATGTTATTTCTTGGAATGAAAATAAGATAAAACCTTTGACATTGTTGGAAAATTTTTTTTTTTGATCTGCTAGCATTTAACTGCAAGCTTGAAGTTCTTCCTTGTGATGACAGGAATATCAAATGCTAAGGTTGTTCAAATATGCATCTTTACTGTAGATGTGTTGGTAGTAAAAAAGTAAGTTGTACAAATTTAAAGTAATTTATTTTAAATTAAACTTTAAATAACTTTTTTAACTTTTATTTAATAGACATTTTTATGGCTCATTGATATTTTTTAAATTTTTAGATAATAACATGTTTTACACAAGTTAATTAAAAATAATATATAAAACCACAAGTAGTTAATTAGGTTCCTTTGGTAGAACGCTCCTATATAAAAGACTAAATGGAGAAAATTGATACTAAAGGAAAGTTTCAAGTAGGAGGTATTGATAACTGATAAGAAATTTATATTAAAGGGTTTGACACAATCATGGATTCAGATCAGGTAATAAACTGTGACCTGTAAACTTTGATTGCATGGTAAAAACTATATTTATTCTTAAATTTCTTAACTCTTTTAAATATAATGCTCTAAAGTTAATTAGAGCATCTTAAATGTTAATACAATTAAATGTAAAATTTTCATTGTTATGATTTTTAATTTCTGGAAGATTTGTTCTATAATTACATATTGAAACTTCAATTTCATCATTAAATCAGACTAGATCAAAGTACTTTAACACTACCCACTATCGCAAACTTGCTTTAAAGGTAATTAGATATGGAATATCAGATGAAGCAGCTGCCGCCGTAGCTAATGCTCTACTTCAAGATATTGGTTATCTACATCTAAATAACCCAAGTTAATTGAAGAGAGAGAAAGAACGAGTATGTTTTAATGCTAATTTTGAGCAATCTAAAGTTTCAAATATAAAGGCAATTTGTTTGGATACCAAATATAATAAAACTTTGTAAATCTACGAGGACTGTAGACCACTTGACATTCACATTTGAATCAGGTAAAGGCCAATATTATCTCTTTTGTTTTGGTATTTTTTATTTTTTTATGTTTTTTTTTTACTTATAAAAATGTTTTAAATTGACTAAGGCGAGTTGCAAGGTCATATCTTAGGCACATAGTTGTACCTAAAGAAAAAGATAAAGAAAAAGATCTTGCTGAATTTACCTGTGATGTTTTCAAGGAGTTTAAGAGTGATAAAAGTATCCAGGGAATAATTTTGGACAATACAAGTGTTAATACAGGTATATTTTTTCTTCAAAAATACCTGTCTGAAAAATAAAAAAGATAATATAAAAATCTTTATTTGAGAGATATATTTTCATATTACTATATCATTTTAGGTAAAGATAATGGTTTAGTTGCTTGTCTTGAAAGAATATTAAAAAGAAGAAATCATATAATTGGCTGTCTTCTACATGTTAACGAGTTATCATTGTGTCATTTAGTTTCTAAACTTGATAATTCTTCTAATAGCTCAAATAATTATTCTGGTAATCTAAATAATAATATTATTTTACATTCTTGGTGATAATAGTATTAATAGCAACATTATTAAAATTTATAGAAATTCTATTTTTTAATTAAGAGTTTTATTGCTGCTTTACTTTATTCTGATAAGCATAATTATAAATTATTATTTTTAAGTAAAAAATTATAACTATTAATATAAATATACTTGATCAAATAATAATAATAATAATAATAATAATAATAATATTTTAAAGGACCAGTTGGAAAATCTTTGACAAATCCAATTGATTTAAATTTAACTGTTGACTTCATACAAGTTGAGACATACGTTGAATATCCTCCTCCCTGTGTCATTAAAGACCTCTCTGCTGACCAGAGAATGGTACTGGAATACAGTATTGGATTTTCTTGAGGGTTTTCAGACAATAAGTATCTGAGAAAAAAAATAGGTGTGTTGTTTTGAAAATCATTTGTTTTTGATATTTTTCCTTTTATTTTGTTTCTTTGAAATTTATGTAAATATATATATACTAATATATAATTTACTATTAAATTATACATAAGAACAATCAATCCCAATGGAGAGCTCAAAATCTTTGTTGAATATATTCAAACAGTATATACTCCTATGTGGTTTAATATCAAAAAGTCTAAGAGTTTCACAGAAGGTCCTAAACTCATTTTCCAATTTATTCAGCGGATTTTAAGGTTGAATATTGAAGTTCAAAATACTGCATTGCCCATAATTTATAGAAACTCTTTTTGTTTCCAACCTGAGAATTTTATTGCTGCTCTACTTTATTCTGAAGAACAGGTTTATAGAACAATAACTGTTGTTAAGATTTTGGAAACAAGAAAAACCCTAATTAAGGATCCTAAAAATGGATTAAAAAATGGTATTAGGGTTTATGCAATTCCAGTTATTAATTGTAAATGTAAAAACTGGTCAAAATTAATAAATTTGTATGATTTGTTTTGCGCCCCCTTATCTGGAAGATATATCAAATGAGGAGCTTTTGAATATAATTCCGAATCATGGAAAGGCTCCCAACTTACCGTGTCACTCACAAACGGTTGAAAGAGCAGTGAAAATGACTTCTGACACTAGCGGAAAATTTATTAACCTCAAGAAAAGAAATGCTCTTATTCTAACTAAATGCCAAAGTCAAAAGAAACGAAAATATTTTAGAACAAAGAAAGAATATAAGTTGTAATTTATTATCATTTATTTAAATCAATCTATTTGGTAATATGTTTGTTTATTATTAATATTAATTTGGTTCAGCAGTAAAAGTATAATCGATTTAGTAGTAGTTCACTTGCTGAATAAAATGTCTACAAAATCAGAAAGGCATAATAAAATCTTGTTTTTTTGGGTGTGTGAGGGGGGCGGGGGAAGGATTGTTATAACCTACCCCGATATCTAATCACTACCCTTAAAAATAGTTTTCTTCTTTTGCTTCTGTATATTAGAATAAATACTGATAAAAAGTGCTGAAACAGCATAACATTGTTGTCCATGTTTAAATCCGTTTTTCAGTTAATGGCTAATGATTATTAAAAATCGCTTATTGTTATGATAATTATTTTTCCAACACCCTAAAAACAACCTTAAAAAGTTAAGTTAAAATTATTTATACAACTTATCCTTATAAACAATACATTCATAAAAGTTTTTGTGCGTTAACGTTTCAAATATTTATTGTGTGACCTCTTAAAGTTTTTACTCTTTAATGTTAATATTTGATAAATATACGTCCAAATAAGATAGAATCGGAAATACCTGAAGCTTTTATATTTTGCCCACAATGTTTTTATGGTCTAAAGAAGGTTATCCAGCTTGAAGTAATTTGAATTTCGATAAAAAGTTAAAAATCACAGTTGTCTATTGAATATTTGTAAATTAATACGCATGTTGTTATGCACGACTTTTTATCTAATTTAATTTTTTTTGTTTTAGATTATAAAAAAAATATGGTTTAACATATTATTTTATGTTATAAAAAAATTATAATATAAAAAAAATTATAAAAAAATATGGTTTATAAAAAAATATGGTTTAACATATTATTTTATTTTCGTATGTATTTATAATATTTTATATCTTATATATTTTCTTATATATTTTACCTTACATACTCTTATATATTTTTTACGCGTTTTTACGTTTTTTTTTGTTGGGTTTTTTGTCAGGTGGTTTTACAAGAGGGCCCTAACTACATTTTGTTATAACATCTATGCCACGTGAGTCATTGTTACGTAGGATTTTGACCCCTAACATCTACACCACGTGGAGCTATGGTCCCTGTCAACCTTTGTCAAACTATTTTCTAACCCGCGATAAATTGTCACTTGTTTTAATCTGCGAGTAATGCTTACGATGGGGGAGGAGGAAGGGTAGCGGTGGGGGTTGAGAGCGGTTCAATAAAAATTTTTCAGAAAAAATAATTTTTTTATTAAAACATTTTTTTTTTTAATAAATTTGCTACATTACCATTATCAGCCGTTTATTTAGTTTTATATTTGTATGGGAGAGAATGCGAATTAAAGACACCAGCTATACAAAATTGATTATGTTTATTTCTTTTCTTAATTAGTCAAACTATTCAGACACAATCCCTTTAAAATAATAAAAATTATGTTGTTTTGACCTTGTTTGGAGTTGTAATTATTGTTTTGAATAAATAGTCAATATAAAAATGAAGACCTTGGAAAGAAAACTTCAAATGTCACAAACGATATTTTTTTCAGAAGAGCCTTTAAACTATTGATGTTTTTCAAAAGTTTTTGAAACTATTGATGTTTTTCAAAACTTTAAACTATTGATGTTTTTTGCCAGTCAATTTGAAAGACATAATTTTTAAAGAAACATATAACAATAGTCATTACACTGACTTATATAAAGACAACCAAAAAATAACATAAATCCAATTAGCATATAGGTGGACATTTAAAGTTTCCGTTCCAAGGTCTACAAATATTAACCTTGTTTATTTTTATATGAATGTCTCTCACGCAATATAGCACAATGTTTGAGCAATACATTTTTATGTGTTAAAAATAATATTTTGCGTGCTAAAAATAATATTAACTTAAAAACGTAACTATCTTTCTATACAGTTATCGATATTAAATAAAAAGTATAAATTCTCCATTTCTTTAATATAACTTATTTATGATTCGGCTAACTGCAAGCAGATTGTGTGTGTTTTAAAAGTCAGAAACATGAAATTTTTAGCTAAAATGAAACTATGCATAATAGTATTCATGATGATTACCTGCGTCTTTGCAAAAGAAAAACGAGCTATACCAGGTAAGCTTGTCATACAACTACTTTAAAGGATTTTAAAAATTTAATTACGCATTTAATTTAAAAGTATTTTTTATCGATATTTTAATAGTAAATAGTAATCTTTTAAAATAATTATCTGAACGCGATATACCCAGCCATTTACTTTTAAAATTGAAAAGTTTTCAAAATGTCCAGATTTATAAAAATTTGTTTGTAATTAGATAGCTTTATAAAAACTAAATAATAAATGGCATTTAAAAAATCCATCATTCAACCCATACTTGCAATTTTAAAGAAAACAAGTTAGTATTGTAAGCAATTAATTAACAATAAACTTTTATTTAAATCAAGATGTTATTTAATAAATATTAGCTTTACTTTTAAAGTAATCCTAATGTGATACCGACTCACAAATCTCGCTTAGATCAAAGACGTATTTAACGACGCTATCAGTTGACCTTTCCCCCTAAATGCAATGCATTATGGTATTTGTATGTACGCAATTGTATGTATGGAATTATGGTATTTTTATGTAAACAACAAAAATAAGTCCAGTAAAATATCAAATATTGAAAGAACTGAGATTGTCCCAATAGACTTTAGTGTAAACATCAAAAATAAGTCAAAAAAGACGACCGTTTCCAATATCCAGTTTATAAAATGCATATTATGTAAATCAACGTAAATATTGCAATTTATTAATTTCTTTAAAAATAATTCTAATATTACATAATTTAGTTTTCTAATCACAAAAAGATAATTTTGTTATCTAAATATAAAAAAAAACTTGTGAGGCAAAAGCAGTTTGATTTCCGTCAAAAATAAAAAGTATCTTTTGAATCTTTAAAAGATTAGTAAAATATAATTGAAGAAAGTAATTGAATATAATAATTGAAAGAATATAATTGATTACAAACAATCTCAATAATTTATAGTATAAACGATCAATTATATTCAGCATTTCCATATTGCTTTTTAAGAAAAACATTAATTTTGTACGTCGAAGGTTTTTTTAAAATGTAAGTTTGACACATGAATTAAAATATTTTCAAACACGTGATATATTCTTAATTACAAAATATCCATTTATATTTCCAAAAAGTTTGTCATAAAATGTCTAATGGAATTAGCAAACCATAAATGTCGGTTTAATTCTATAACTTATTTCAAAAAAAGAGACAAATTATAAAGTACAGAGAGTTTCACTAATTATAGCCGTCTCTTATAAGAGACGGCTATAATTAGTGAAACTAGTATAGTAGAAAACTAGTAGAAACAAGTATACTTGTAAAAATGATTTAAACGTTTAACTTTTCAAACGTTTTTTATTTGGCAAATCCGTCTCCAGACTTTTGAATACTGCGTACATTCAAAAATCTAGAGACAGGTTTATCTAATTAAATAAATTTTTTACAACTAAAAGTAAAAACAGTTTTTACTTTTATTTGTAAAGAACTTTGTTTTCAATAAAACGACGTTTTTTTGTTTTTACTAACTTCTATTATTAGTATTATTATTATTATGAGGAATTCAATTTTTATTTTTGTTAATATTAAAAGTTTTTAGATTTAATAAAAATAAATTCTTTAATATTTTATTAATTTTGTAATGAAGTGTTATTTCCTATTGCAGTTGCTTTAAAAAAGAGGATTATAATGCAACTGCATTAAAAAAACTGCGAACTTAAAACTAAAGTAAGTTAAACTTTTATAATTTGAAACTTAACACATTTAATTGACGTGTTAATGGCTAACAAGCTTAGCTTTGTGTAACAGTTATTCTTTTTTTTAAATTCGTTTAATAGTTCATTTTTTATGCCAGACTTGAGCTATTAGCGTAATACATTTCTTTTTGCTATTAACATCATGCTATTAACAATTTTTTTGGAAATTTATGTATACAAGATATTCTATAACTAACTTCAAGTGGTCACAGACAAAAAAAAGACGTCTTTTAAACGTCTTATACACGTTTTGGACGTCTTTTGAACCCCTTTTGAACGTTTTGGACGTCTTTTGAACGTTAAAAAGACGTCTTTTTTTGGTCCGGTGGCCACTGGGTTCAAGTCTTTTGTTTAACTTTGTGGCTTTTAATGCTTTAATAAAACCTTAAGTTTCAAGTAAACTTCTACATAAGAGCTTATTATTTTAACTTTGCTTCTGAGTTCAGTAATAATTATTCTCAAATTTTATGTGAGCTGCTATTTGAACAAGCTACCTTTTAATATTGCCCTAATTTGTTAGAAAAAACAGCAGTTTTTTTAATACATTGAAAAAATTTATTTGAAGCGATTCTTTAGGTATAAAAAAGTTCAAGTATGAAAAGAATTTAAAACATAAATTAACTTCATTACTAACTCCATTTCATGTAAAAGTTGTATAATTCAAATCATCAAATTAATTTTTTTTTCTAAAAATTCATCTTTAAAACATCTCGATTAGAAACTCTATAGAACTGCCATCAATAAAGTTATCAAGCTTTTACTTTCTACTGTATGTAACTGTGTTAAGAGTTCCTTTTCGTAGACTTGTTACTTTTTGTTGTCTTGTGTCTCATATCTCTATTAACTACGTGATTAAAGTTAACCTTCAATGTACCATTTTTAACTAGCATTCACCATAGAATACCGAAAACATGTTTAACGGTAAATACATTTAACCAAAAATTATATGTATTTATACGAACTTGCATAAATATTACACATACTCATTTTTATCTGTGTCAATTCCCAACACTAACGTAGGAAAATAGATATATATTTTTTTTAAATTTGGGGTTGCGACTACAAATATTATGGGCTATTTTTGTTTTTAGGCTCTAGTAATAGTAATTTTTTACAAAACATTCTTGTTTGAAAAAACCATGAATTTAATCAAGTTTGGAGTTTTCTCAATTTCTGAAAGTGACAAACTAAAACACCTTAATATTTTTTGTCGCTCACCCTCCCCCCCCCCCCCCATCCTTAAGGATAGCTTTTTAAACAAGTATAACCAATTTATAGCATTTCCGCTTATTTTATAAAGTTTTGGACTAGCTGCAGCAGTTTTTCGTATAAACCTTTCATGTTATGAGGATCGGGTAGTAAGTGTATAAGACTATATAATATAGGAATATAAAACAAAGTCTTAACTCTTTCAAAATAAATATTGAATCAATTTTAAAGTAAAAGTTTGTCATTATATTATTTGACGCAGCTCCATCTAATATAAATTTTAAAACGAGTAATTTTAACGACATACAAATGTAATTAAAAAAATAAATAAAAATAAGACAAGGGTATAGTTACTGCGCAACCTTTATCGTTGGGCAGTAGTCAACACAAAACAATATTAGCTTTTTCAAAACAACCTAACTTATTTACTAATCAATCAGACATATCATCATCATCACCACCATCATCATCATCATCATCATCATCATCATCATCATCATCATCATCATCATCATTATCATCATCATCATCATCATCATCGTCATCATCATCATCATCACCATCATGATTATCATCATTGGTTTTGCACGCTTTAGACGTTTTTCATTTGTTTCTTCAATATTCAAAATTTTAATTATGTTCTTAACTGAGGTTTTTTCTACTGCTATGCTCTATGCACAAGTTTTCCTGCTTTTACATCTTACAGATAATTCATCGGTTTGAAGCCTATGAGTTATCTACTTGGTGCTGGAAGTTTTCAGCAGTTTAAGATTGTTACACTTTTTTTACTCTAACTGGTATTATTATTTAGTCAAGGATTATAGATTTCGTTACCATATTCTTTCTATATTTATAACTTCTTATTTTTAATTTAAATTGTTATTTATTTGCCTTTTTTATTTTTATATATATATAAATCTAATGTAACATTACGATTATCTCAATATATTAGCAAAATTTTAACACTTTTTAGGATGGACAAAAGCTTATACAGTAGCTATCAAATCGTTTACCAATGGAAAGTTTGTATGTGCTGAAAACATTGGAAATCAATCATTAATTGCCAATAAAAACTCTATTGGTTTATGGGAAACTTTTGAAATTCGTTTCACTAACGCACAAACATTTGCATTGAACTCTTTTGCAAATAAAAAGTTTGTCAGTGCAGGTAGAAATAACTTGCTTATTGCCAATAAAGACCAGGCTACAGTGTGGGAGACTTTCACCTTAGTTCCAAATTATGGAACCTTTGGATTTAAATCAAATGCTAATGCAAAACTTGTGAGCGCTGAAGAAGCAGGAAACAAACCGCTTGTTGTTAAACGCAACGTTCCTGACGTCTGGGAAATGTTCAGCTTGGTCTACGTCTGGCCATCAGTACATAAAGTGGCAATAAAAGCATTAGTTAATGGTTTATTTGTTTGCGCTGAAAATGCCGGAAAGCAATCGTTAATTGCTAACAAAGTTCATATGCTCCTATGGGAAACATTTGAAATTCGCTTCACTGACCCCCAAACATTTAGTCTTAAGTCTCTTGCAAACAACAAATTCGTTTGCGCAGACAATTATGGATAATCTCCTCTTATTGCTAATAAAGAACATATTGATTCATGGGAGACCTTTACGCTAGTTCAAAATAAGGAAGGTGTTGCTTTCAAATCACACGCTAATGGAAAATTTGTGACAGCAGAAAACGCAGGAAATAGTAACCTAATTGCCAAACACGATAATCCTGATACTTGGGAAAGATTCGTTTTTATTTACTTGTGATAGGCTTAAATTTTTAAATTGATTGTAAGCTAAATTAAAAATAAGTTTTTTTATCAAAAAGATTTAAATTACTTTTTATTTTTTTTAGTTTAAATTTGATAGTTTTATCTATTGTATGGTCATAAGTTTTTATTTTATTCACGGTTTATTAAAAACATTTTTTTTAGTTTTACTTTTTTTTCTTCTGTATATTAACGTTTAAAATAACATAAGTATAAAAAATTATTGTTATTGTTATTGCTGTTATTGTGACTGTTTTTGTTACTTAGTCCAAACTTTTGTTGCGATAATGCAAATTTGTTTTCTTTTTTGTATCATACGTTTCATTTATCTTATGCGTACAATCTCATACATACGTATACGTACATCCTTATACATGTGTCTCATTTTGTTTTATCAGGGACAATCAAATTCAAAACCTCTGCTCTACTTTAGCGCTTTTTTTACAGGCAGGTCTTTAAACGAATTGATAACTAATGTCATTAAGAGCATCTTTTGCAAATCTATTTTTTTAGAAGCACGCGACTGTTTTTGAGCATGGTTTTCGAGAATTCTTCTGTAAACTTTGGTTCATTCGAGAGCTTTTAATTGGATATATATATGACACTTTAAATTCCGCACTATGAACTAAATTCTTAAGCAACAGGAATGTAGTATCACGAATATAAATCAAGATTAAAAGTTCAATTCTCAAAGTAAAGTTAATTTTTTAGTTTCTAGTGCAGTCAATATCAGTGTTTCTTTGAAAATAAAAATTTAATGGGTCTGGAAGAAAGTTTTGATGATGGCCGTAATGGCATAACGTATGATGACATAATATAAATTGGCAAATGATTTTTCCAAATTATATTATGACAGCATAGAATCTTTATGTACCCAGCAGGCACAATGACGTTGAAATAAAGTTGAAACAACGTCGTAAACTGACCATATGCTACGTTGAAACAACGTTGAAATTTGGTTGAATTGGAAATAAAATCCGACGTTGAAAACTACGACGTTTGAACAACGTCGATGATTACGTTGCTTCAACGTTGTTTTAACGTCATATCGACTACATATCAACTAAATTTCGACTTTGAATAGGTGATATTCGGTTGATACGTAGTTGATACGACGTTAGAACAACGTCGAAACAACGTAAATTCAACGTTGAATTTTGCTTTTTATTTTGGTTAAAATCCAATTAACTAAAAAATTATCTCAACTTTAATTGCAATAAAATAACACAATAAAAAAGCAATAATTTGCGCAGAGGATATTATATTTCACGTAAATTAATCAGATACAACTAAATTGCTTCAAGGGACTTTATATAAAATGCAAATAAAATAAATTGTTTGAAAAAAATTTTTTTTTTAACAATAGTTTCAGAAAAATTAGGAAAAAGTATGAATATTGTTTTGACATGAGGTTATATAATGGAGGTGAATATTTGACCCGTCAGGGTTGCGGCTTTTTAAAGTTATTGCTTAATGCATATTTAATATATTATTTCATCATTTTATTTAATTAAAGCATAACTGGAAACCAAGATTGATGTTGCAGAGGCGTAACTAGGGTGAGGTGTAAGTAGGGAGACCTGTCTCTTTGAAGACATGGACATGTTTTTGAGGAAAAGGTGGCCTTTTTTCGTTTTCTTCAATCGTTTTCCTTGAACTAAATGTTTTTTAATAATACTAAATAAAAAATGTTTTAAAATTTTAGAGCACTAATAACAGGTTTTCTTCAAAAAGAAGGGGCTGGGACACGGTATTGTTTATATACAACATTTAGAATGTTGTATCTATACATTTATATTCAATATTCAAAGACCGTAAAAAAGGCAATAACAATCGAAATAACAGAGGTGATATTTATGTATCAACCATAACTCAAAAATTGTTTTATACCAAATACGTTTTTATTACGTTTATGTTTTTATTATTTTTTTATTACGTTTTTATTACGTTTACGTATATAAAAATAACCGTTTTTAATTTCTTTTATGAGGAAACTTCTTTTGTTTCATATATTTTATGGCTGTTGTAAAACCATGTCATTAGAAATATTTTTATTGACAAATTGACAATTTATTCTTATGCAGAAAAAATTATTAGATATTCAAATAAAATATGCACGTATTCGATTTCATTGCTGTCATGTTGGTTGCACTAACTTCTTCTCTTCCAGTGTTTAGATTATCCAATATTACCCTTTTGTATCTGCTTAAAATGAATTTAGCAGCTTTGATTATAGACAGAAAGTTGTATTGTTGGATGTACAAGACTCAAGTTTAAATGGTCTTTTAAATGTAGCATTTCTGACTTTTATAATTGTATTTGATGCTAGGTTACTGCTTACATAGGCTTTTGGAAAAAGTAAAAACAAAACTAGTTTAGTTAGTAAAGCAGTAACATTTTTAACTATTCTTGGAATAACATTATTAACTGTCGGAATAAAAATTGCAGTATCTCATAAATAAGTATGATACTGAAACCAATAAAGATGACGAGGATGAAGCCAAATTAAAAGCAAATTATTATATTGTTGGCAATAACAATTAGGTTGTTTGTGATACTCATTTATTATCACAGACACTCATTAAATATTAGTATGTAAACCATATTTTTTCATTACATTGAACTTTGTTTTTTATTTACACTTAACAGTTAACATATTTAAATGAGAGTTCATTTTAGTCACCAAATATTAGGTAATATAAGCTCTTTACATTTTGGACATAAAGTTTTATTGAGTTTGTTTACCTTTAAATTTTCTATTAGGCAGAAAAAAAAAAGTGTATGCATTTTTTTAGAGTTAATCATTGTTTTGGTATTTTGCGACATAAATTACACTGTGAATGAGGATTAAATTCATCTTTATTTTTTCAATATCTTTTTCTGAGTTGTGTGCTGTTACGATGCTTTTTTTAATGTACGCAATCATTAATCATTAAGTTTTTATACCTGGTGACAACAATAGCATTTATTACAAGGAGGTTTTGAAATCATACTTAAATGAAGTGTTGTCGATATCAGTCTTTTGATAATATTGTTTATGGTGTTATAACATAGCATAATTTATTCGGATAAACATTTTCTCATCAATCAGCATGATATAAAATACATTTTTGTTTTGTTGGTTTGTTCCAACAGCGTAATTTTTTTTCTGATCCTCAAATCTGCAATTCCCACTAAGAATTAATAACGAGAATTTAAATTCTTGTTATGGATAGTTTTTAGGTAAGTGTACTAAATAATAAACAAGTTTTAACTTTATCTGTTAATTAGTGTTTACACTCATTAACTAAATTAAAATAATAAATCAATAGTCAACTACATACAAACTTAAAGATAAGATTTAAAAATTAAATAAAAAACACTTTTTTACATAAAGATATAATTTATTTTATATAAAGACATATATCATATTGCATAGATTATTATCTAAAATGTTTAACTGAATTAATAAATACATGTGAGGTTTATGCAATTATCGAATAATTCAGGCGGATCTAATAGTCTACTAGATCAGTAGTATGGTAGATCAAATAATCTACTACAGTAGTAGACTATTAGATCCGCAGGGTAGGATATTCATTTCTTAAAACAAAAAACGTTTAAAAAAAAATTATCTCGCAATAAAAAGATTCAATTTTGCTGTGCTTACAGTAAGTTTTTTCAAAATAATGTAGAGTGTGTAATGAGCTTGGAGAAGCTTCAGAAGCTACTTCAAATAAAGAGTTTTTGTAAAAACCTATTAAAAAGAAGAAGAGTGGATTCAAGAAGCTAGCTATGGTGACTGCTTTTTCTTGCTTTCTCGTTATTTAATGGTACTAATAACTTGAATTTTAATTCGATACCTAACTGCAAACTAAGAACTTTATATGAACATAGAAAAAAAATGAACCTATTTTGAAAATAAATGAAATAATGAACCGAATAACTATAGAAATTTCTTATTTTCTTATGCAATGGCAAGTAAAATGTTCAAATCTCCAAAAAAAGATAAAAAACCGCCCTTAAGTACATCGAGTATGAGTCTTCCTTTGGTACGAAGGTAACTTGTCTCGGTTAGCTTTGCTATTGGTATTGTTCTGCGATAACGATGTTTTTTTCTTGACTAAAAAATAAACTATCTGGTCGAATAATTGTAAATTATTGTTAAATTTATCAAACAAGTTTCAAATCATTGACCTAAAGATAATTATTTTATTATAAAACATATTTACGATTTATGTCAAATTTTATATAATTTTTACCGTTGTTTGTTCGTCCTGTGCACCTGTGCAATCTCGCTAAGCTTGAGCCTTTTAGGTGGAGACTTGCTAAAAGTGGTGAATTTTTAATATAAATATAAAGAATATGTATTGGCTTTACTACATACATCGACTATCTTATAGCCTGATGCCTGATGCTACAAGAGAATGCTGCTACATCCATTATCTTTTAACTTGCTGTTACAAAGAAGTGTTACTACATTCACTATCTTATAGCCTGCTTCTACAAGTAAGTGCTGCTACATTGACTGAGGATTTGGCATAGGTCAGCAATCTTTTTTCTTTTATTATTACAATTAAAATTTCTAATGTTTATAAACTCTCCACTAACGAGAGCGTAACAGGCGAAAAATTAAATTTATTTTAGAGCGCTAAACTGTAGCTTTAACTAAAAGGACGTTTTACTCGTTTGTTTTTTTGTAATTTTTTTTTTACCGAAAAATACAAAATATGTATTTTTTACCAAAGTTTAACCATTGTTCTTCACTGTCATGTAGGACAAAGATTTTTTGATTTAATTTACACAGCCTATGTCACATTTGTTGAATAATTAAACTAAAAAATAAATTGCGGTATTTCGGCATTCCGGCATTACGACATTTTGGCCTGAAATTTTATAACTACTTATTAATTAATTCGATGAAAAATCCAAGTTAAAAATAAAATAAACTAAAAAACAGTTCTTTGTAATTTATGTATATTCAACATTACGAAATAATAATAAATATATTTTGTTATTACAATTTTCACGTAACTCAATACTAATTCTTATATACATTTATTTTATATTTTTCACCCAAAAACTAATTTTAATATGACGATGACAAATGATGTCAAATTCCAGTTTGTTACGCACACGTTCAGTCGGAATCTCAACAATGCATGTCGGATCAGCGCTCGCTGAGCACATAGCTCAGATCTAAAATCTCACTTCATAGCTCATCATTCCACACGAGCACGGGGCAGTCGCTTTTTTGGCTGAGTGATGGCTTGTGGCCTACGGTGACTAATGTGTGCATTCGACGAGTTGAAAACCATTCTGTAGGTCTTACGTCTGGCTCTGATGTGCTAGCCCTTAAGCGCAAGCAGTGAGTGTGTTTAGCTTTCTATTCACCCGCTTTGAAAGTGAACGAAAACATAACGAGACCATAATAGACGACAAAACGGTACGTACTAATGCACTACACCATCACATCTGTAGACATCAACAGTCTCCAAAATCAGTATATCAAATATTTGATCTTTATTATATACTTTTGTTCATAATCTTTTTTTACCTTATTCTTGCATATTTATTCAGATTTGTGTTATAATGTGTGAATGAGGCCGTATTTTGTGAGAATCATAAAAGTACGAAATTTTTACACAAAAGTACGTATTGGCGTATTTTTATAACAAGCGTATTCTTGGTTGGAATAATCTGAACAATTCTACTTGATAAGTTTAGATTTATCACGATCTTGTTAGGTTTTTTGCTGTTATCTAATTTTGTGACGTGACGTCGCTAAGTTAGTTTGTTGTGGTTTGCACTATACAGTCTTCACTAACGTTCCTTTGGTCGTTTTGTCAACAATATTGTTTTTTAATCTTACATTTTTTAGTGGTTATAAGCTGTTAGTAAAAAATCGCATTTATTGTCTCATCTTTTTATTTCCTCATTATTTTTTGCCTACTGATTTAATGTTTGTATATTTTTTAATCTCTGACTAATCGTTGTTTAATTACTCTGAGTCTGTTTTGTGTGATAGCTATTGTTTTTACTTATCAAGCAAGATTTATATGAAAACATACTCTTGGAGTTATCTCATTTTTTATTATATTTTTGTTTTACTATTTTCTTACTAACCACAAACATCTTAACTTAGTAATAATGTTTATGAGTGGTATTTACTTATTATATTTATAATACATATTTTAGCCATAAAATAAACGTTAAGTTACTAATAATTATTAATTACTATTTTCGATTCGCTTTGTGTTATTTCTACACATTATAATTGTTGTTTTTAATATACACGCATACGTGTATGTGTAAAAGTTTGTCTCTTCTAATGTATGAGTACATTATATTTATATGTGTTTACATATCTGTTTATGGTCACACCACGCGCATTTCTCACTGCCCTCACGAGATCTCTAAGAATGTTGGTGCTGTTTTTTAAAAACTGGTATATAAACTTGGTTTTTTGGCTTTTGTAGTCCTATTATATTGCAATATTGACTAGCATGACGTATAGTGCAGGCGGTGAGATCTGTTGCAAGGACATGCCTCTGACGAGAGGCGTTAGTGCAGATCTCGGGAAATCCGAAACGTTATTGGTGATCGCAGTGCATTTCTGAGGAGGGGGATCACCATTTATCCACTACTTAATTCTAATTGGTTATTATGGCACAAACATATTTTAACCTCCTACACCCATGAGTTTTTGTGCTTTGTGAGCTTTTCATTATGAATTTGTTACACTAACAACATTTATATATTTTTATGTTACATAGGTGATTATTAGTTCTTACCCAGCAAACACAAGACGTCTTTAAGACCGTCTTACTTAGGTCTTTAAATGGTCTTGTTATAGAAAGACGTCTTCAAGACGTTTAATATCTAGTTTTTTAAATCCTTTTTTTTCTGTCAATCTAAATTTTCTTATATACGTCTTAAAGACATCTTTAAAAAGACAAGAAAATATTTGCTTGGTTTCGTATGACGTCTTTAGTGCGTCAATCTTTTACTTTCGGTATAATATTTTAAATAGCACTCTTTAAAACGTCTTAAAAACGTCTTCAGTAAGACTGCATTGGCGTGATAATATTTCGTGTCTCATAAACTTAATAAGCTTTTTTATAAAGTTTAAAAGTTTTCTTTGACTTACGTTGGATTTCTAAACTTCGACTTATATATCTTTTTTAACATTATTCAATGAAACTGAAAATCGAATGAAGCGTCGTCGCCTGAATAAAAGTATGTTAGATTTTATAATGACGCAACATGAAGTTATCGATATTAGCACTAATATGAATCGTGAACGTAATGCTTCTTATGAGCATGAAACACCTTGTGAAGCCCCTGCTAATATTCAAGAAGAAAGTGCATTAAAACATTCAAAAAATTTTGAATGTTTTAATGCACCAACACTATTGAAAACAGAAACATTATCACAAGGTTTGGCAAAGTGGTCGTCAAAAAGTAACATTTCTCAAAGTAATTTAAAGGAACTTTTGAATATTCTCAGAAGGCATGGTCATTCAGAGTTGCCAAAAGATGGAAGATCCCTTTTAAAATCCTCTAAAGTTTTTACAGGTGATAGGAAGTGTGGCGGAACTTATGCATATTTTACCATTGCTGATGGCTTAAATTATTTTTTGAATACCAATAAAGATTCTCAAAATACTGAATTATCTGTTGCTGTTAATGTTAATGGACTACCTCTTTTTAAATCTTCTAATCTTCAACTATGGCCAATACTTGGTTTAATAGAGAACTATATTTTTATAATTGCACTTTTCTGTGAAAATGGTAAACCAATCTGCTTAGATGATTTTCTCTATGATTTTATCAAAGAATTTTTATTTTTATCTAATGAAGGTTTATACTACGATAATAAAAAAGATAATGTTAAACATACCTTTTTGTACACTATACATCAGAAATCTCTTTCTCCTTTAGCTCAACTTCAAATATCTTATGTTTCTATATCTTATGACTTTATTTTAGACTATATGCACATGGTTTGTCTTGGAGTAGTAAGACGCATACTTACCTTTTTAAAGTCAGGTCCTAAACATTGTAGACTTTCAAATACCCAAATAAAAAAAATATCTGCTAATCTATTAAGCTTACGTGGTATGATGCCATCTGAATTTGCTCGACAAACACGGTCTCTTTTTGAGTTAGATCGTTGAAAAGCAACAGAGTTCAGGCAATTTATTGTATACACTGGTCCCTTAGTTTTAAAGGGTGTTGTTAGCAAAGAAATTTATAACCACGTTCTAACATTGCATGTTGCAATGGTGATTCTCTTAAACAAAGAAAATCAAGTTAAAAATCATTATCTTGATTTGCTAAAAACTAATAAATTATTTTGTTACTAATTCGAAACATTTATATACAAAATCATTCTGTATTTATAATGTTCACTGTTTACTTCATATTTGTGATGATGTTGTTAGATTTGATTGTTCACTAAATACAATATCTTGTTTTCCTTTTGAAAATTATATGCAGACATTGAAGAAAGCAGTGAAAAATTCAAAGAGTCTGGTTGTTCAAATTACAAAACAGTATCAAAATTTACAATATTTATTTAATACAAAATCTCAAAAACTAAATATTTGAGTGAAGCTGAAAAATTCATGCTTTTATCTAGAAGAAAATCAATTTTGTTTTATTGATAAGAAATTAACATCTGAATTTTTTAAATGTATTTAAACTTAAGAGTATTTAAACTTGATTTACAAAGTGATTTATATACACAACCGATTCTGTCTAACCTTTAAAATTTTCTTGATACCAAAGATTAATGAAATAAAAGTAAAAGTGGTTGTGTTAGGAGTTGAAAGTCTCTGCCGAAAGGTTGTTGCTCTACCCTGAAAAGAAGGTCTTGCGTGCTTTCCTTTGTTGCATGAAATAGAACATTAATGAATCATAATTATTTGATTGAA